GCTGACTGTGCTTCTGAGCATGCGTAGTAGATTCAAATAACAGACGTTTTGTAGGTGTGTTTTGAAGGAGAAAAGTTTCTCGGCCTTTCACTTGAAACGTATGCCTACCATGCATCTTTATTCCTGACATGTTCTTTGAATATCACACAGACAATAATTATTATTATTATCATGCAGTATCGCGATACCTAAGCCTTGCAATTAAAATTAAAATCGAAAATCGCGGTTGAGAGGTGGTTTCATTCAAGGCATATACTATATGTAGCAGTTGCTAAACTGAACATTTATGGGAAAAGTATAGTCCCGAATAAGAAAAATGCGAAATGAGAAGTAGGTTTCCCGTTCCAGATAATTTGGGTAGGAAACACCATGCCCAACTACTAGTGCTTCTGCCAGCTATGGTGAATTCACCGTGTCTCTATTGTTGGCCGTGCTGTGCCTTATTTGTCATCTGGACAAACCAAACACCGAGACAATGAATCGTGTGGTACAATGCAACGTGCTTGGACTTGGAACTTCCTTGACCTCGTTATGATTCTTACGTTATCGCGTTCGTCGTTACTGTGCAGTGTAAATTTATCTTAACAATCTACAAGTGGCAGTATTTACTTGTATTTACCTACGTTGTTTGGGCATTAACCATGGTTATTTGATTTTAATTATTAATGTAATTATTTCTTTAATCATTTATGGTCAATAATTACGATTTGCATAGACATAACCGAAGTTGTCGGTGAATTAGTAAGCAGGTTTGCTAAGTTTTTACCCCAATACTTCGGAGACGACTTTCTGTATAAAACATCAACACTCATGTCTAGAACTGAACGAGTATTATTATGTACATCGTCCGCCAGCACGTTGTTATTCCGTTCGAACATTCCTCCCTCCACAACACAGTGCGGCAATTCTATTCATAACCGTGTATGTCACGTGGTTACGCGATAGAAAGTTTACTGACCAATAGAAAGCTATTGTTACAATGACTGCCAAAAAGCGCTTGGGGCTTTGCATTTCTGCTGTCTTCATCTTCGGCTTCATTTCTGTCGATATATGTTGCAGTGACACCATGAGCTCTTCTACTCTTCTATAATAATTACCCCAGACCATTCGTCCCGGTGTTATCGCTATCGCCACACGAGACTCCAGCTTGTCTCCTATACAATTTGACTGCGCACATCCAGAAAGAGATGTAGCTGTGATTGGTGGAATACTAATGAGTTGAGTGTCAATCAAACGCCCACGCTATCTTTAGTAAACAAAGTCACGTGACACGCGCCATTTTAGTTTTGGCAGGCGATTTCAAGGCAGCACGCTTAACTCTTTCGTTCACAGGTTGGGATATATTAGAATGACTGACAATTTCACGCCACTGTTTTACATTATTGGCGGATTTTTCTGCGCTATCAATCTTTCTCTTACAAACTAGACATAGATGAGACGACAGAGTCGCTCCTTTCACAACGTCGCACTGGATCAAATTGGAAAGACGATTTCCATAAGTTATCCCTCCTGCTTTTCCTGGCTTGAATAAATTCACACACGACTTTAACTGTCCACAAACTCGAAGACTACACGAACACAGTCTACAATAGTCGTCCGCAACAATATGTATGTATTTCTTCGGTGTACTGATGCACGAATGCACCGTGACACGGTGTTTCTCGGGTGTCGCCATCGCTGAAAGAATGCCGCCG